GTAATTTGGTGAGGCAGTTCCCCCGTCGTCCTCGCTTCGGGGTACGTCTGCCCTTAATTCTAAAACTAGAATTGAGATATATTGTATAGATATCACCTGTTTGAATGAACAGTTTATACAAGGATTGAGCAGCAAAATTACAACAAAAATCTCAATGTGTTGAAAGTTGCCTTCACTCCTTGCCCCTTGATTCAAGCTGAATCAAGTTCTTCGATTTGTGTTGATGGACCTCCGACTCCAGCCACCTTATTGAAGAACACGTTGTTGTTCAAACCTTTGGCTCCGGCTGATCTCAACAGCACCAAATCGAACCCGAGCCCTTCCCTTCAAAGTCACTGAATCCGCTACTAGACTTGTGAAGACCACCTCTTCACAATCACCTTCGCTCGATTGATCGTTGATGAAGAATCTCGTCCAAAAACCCCCAAAATTAGAACCAATCTTGGAGGGCAAAACCCCAATGGTTTTATTCAAGAAAGAACCTGTCGCAATCTTCAACCCGAGCTTGATTCTCCAATCTAAGCCTCGAACCTTATCGCCTTGAATCTCTCACAAATGCATTTCAAAAATGATTGTGTGTAATTGAAATGTTGTGAGAGGTTGAAGATGAAGATGATGAATCTTGGACACCTATTTCACTCTTTCTTGTTTTTGAACACATGAATCAAAAGAATATCAAATGTTGTTAGACACAAGTGTTTAAGCAAGTATATATAGAGCCCACAAAATTCAGAACACAACAGTATTTCAAATATGAGAGGGAACAAAGTAAAAACAGTTTTTCCGCACGAACGGTCGACCATAACAGGTCTATGCGTCGACGCATGGCGTGTGATGTTTTGAATTTCTGGAAATTTCATCAGTATGCGTCGACCATACAGTCGGCGTGCACTGACCCGCTGGAATTCTTTTCCTTTGTGCGCCGACCCTATGGTCGACCAAAGCTTTCATGCGTTGACCCGCTGGAAAATTACCCTTTCATGCGCTGACCAAATGGTCGACGTATGCTTTGTGCGCTGACAGTCCTTCCCTTGTTTTTGATGGATACGTCGACCCTTTGGTCGACCCATGTCCTGTAATCCTGCAAAATATTGTTAGTTTGAAGTTTCTCATGCCTTTAGTCATGATTGCAGTTTGTCAACTCAATGTATATTTCTTTAAGACAAATTTAGACAAGTAAAAGGATAATGTGCTGAGTGATATGTTGCATCTGGTTAGTGAATTTGGAACTCATACTTTCCAGTCTATCCTGGGAATTTGTCATCATCGAAACCTGCATTTACCAATGTCTTGCAGCTTTGTGTGATATGTGGCGACTTGCCTCCACAATTGGCACCTCCAAAATCCAACTTCGGTTGATACCCTACAAAGCCTAATCATCATTAGCATACCTTAAAACCCATTTTTTCGGTAACTCAAAACTCAGGTTCCTATTGATAAACTCAACGTCATTGGCACTTCAAATTACTAACCTTCATCCCTTTTGGCAACAATCATTCGGCCCAGCATAGCCCATACATACCACAAAGTCGATCATTACATCAACATTTTGCATATAGTAATAATCATTACATAGCATATCATCACTAAAATGTGTAGCATATCTATCAAGATGGAGCATTACGCCATACAAAATCCAACACGCATACTTAGCATAAGCCAGAGTCAAGTCTCCCTCAAAATCACAAACAAATCCTCCGCTAAGGCAATATTATTTCTTAGAAGAGAACTTTATCCCCCACAAAAGTTCTTATTAATACCCCTAATAGGGTTCCCCATAGTATTCCTTCATACCTCTTTGTGGCGTCTTGCCTTTTGCAAGTTCCCTTTGCCTTTTACATGGGAAATTTCTTTCTTCACTTACCTTTTGTAAGTTCTTTCGCTGCCTTTTGCATAAAAGCTTGTCTCCTCACTTACCTTTTGAAAGTGCTTTCGTTGCCTTTTGCACGAAACTCTTCTCTTCACTTGCCTTTTGTAAGTGCTTTCGCTGCCTTTTGCATGAAAGCTTGTCTCCTCACTTACCTTTTGTAAGTGCTCTCGCTGCCTTTTGCACGAGAAAGAACTTTAGATATTGAGTACAAAATAAGGGACTGGACGAAGAACCTACTCCCTTCTCGATCACTTTGTCGGGCGTAGGTTTGGTCGATCCAAGTGATTTCCATACTTCGAGAATGCTATCTCCACTGTTGTGCATGTGAGGTCTCATGACGTTCTCTTGCCTTTTGCAAGTCCCCTCTTCCTTTTGCATGAGGATTATCATCTCTTTCGCGCTTGCCTTTTGCATGCTCCCTTGCCTTTTGCATGGGATTCAGAGTACCTTTTGTAAGTACCATCTGCCTTTTGTATAGGACACCCTTTTGGGTTCATACTTGCCTTTCGTAAGTTCCCTTGGCCTTTCGTAGGTTCTGTTTTTTGTCTGGATCAGGAGAGGTTCTGTAGATGCATCTCCGAAATAAGACAATAGGGTGGTATCGGAGATGCATCTCTGGAACCTCCACTGATACAAGATAGAATTTTTAAGGTTCATATTTGTCTACAACTTCTATAAATATAGGCTCATGTTTTTTATTTCATAGAAACAGAAAATGTCGCAAATGAATGTATCATATGGTATTTCACAAATGTATCCTTTTCTAGCGCGACACCCAGACGGAAATTTAAAATCAATAAGTACACATCTTTTGCAGATCTGCAATACGAAGTGCATAATCTCCTACCCTGCGAAGATAATAAAAAATTGTAAAGCTAGAGTACCATTCACCGTCAGTTAACACAAATGCAAGATTGAGTTCAAGAACTATGAGCTCAAGACAGATGTAGATGTAAGGGCTATGTGAAATACATTTTTCTGTTTCTAAACAAAAGTTTTGATCGAGGTGTAAGCGACGATTTCAAGATCGTTCAAAGAAATTGTGAAGATGTTGAAGCGTCCACCTCGATATTAAAATGTAATGTCTGATTTTATGTTAACATCACTTATGTAATGCCGATTTTATGTTATGAATGATATTTTATTTTGTTAAAATACAACTTTGTGGTTTTCTGCTTCTGTTTCAGTTTGCTATGGAGATGTATCTACGGACAAATTTCGGAGATGCATCTCCGGATAAAAAAAACACATTCCTAAGGAGTGACTCAGAATTTTTCTAGATCATGTGTGTTTGGGGTGCGTCTGGAGATGTATCTCTAGAATCAAAGAATATTTTTGTATTTTTATATGGTGCCCTAATAAAATATAAGGTGCATTAAGAATTCCCTAATATTTATAGTTTTCACTATTAAACGATATATTAATTTTTTTCACCTCACTAGCTTTTATGTGTTATTGTATTTATAAAAAAAATAATATAGTATTAAAATATATTATATTAACAAATTATAATTTTCTTTGTATTTATTATAAATATTATGAGGTTTTATTTTAATCAAATCTATATCAATTAATAAAAAAATGCATGCAAACTACCAATAACACCCTTCATGTTAAAATTATTTACACTTAAAAAAAGGTTAAAATAGTAAATAACTAATTTACAAATTAATTCATTCTACTTCAACCACATGCCGCCAAATATCAAGTTCTTATTGGACACTTTTTAAACTTTCATTTTTTCCCTCCACTTTCTACTCTTTCACTAACAATCTCATTTTTCTCCCAAATTAAATTCATTTTTCTTTTATATTCTTTTTCCCTTTTCCTTTCAATATTTTATCTTTTCTACCCTTCTCATAGTTACTAAAAAATAGTTATTTTTACACTTTTATGCATATTAAAAATTATTTGTAATACATTAATATGCATTATTATACTAAATATTTATTATTAGTGTATAAATATATACAATATTAACGTTTAGTTTTATTTCTACGATATTTCAACCAATTCTATCTATTTATTATTATTATAATAATAATTATTTTATTTTTAAATTTTAATAAAATTAAGAATTTATTTTATCAAATTAGACAATTTCAATAGTTGTACACACAACTAATTTACGATCTTATGGATCACTATCAATAAAATATTTATTTTAATTTAATTAATAATTGTCTTTGTTTGAAATACAACATTCTTATTTTTAAATGTTAAAATTTTTTTTTTTTCACAGGTCACTATCAGCAAAATATCTATTTTATTTTAATTAACAATTGTTTTTATTTGAGTAACAAAATTCTTATTTTCAAATGATAGAATTTCTCTTTTTCTATATTTAAATATAATTGATATTATATTAAATAAATTTATCCTTATGAATGTATAAATATCTTAGTAGTTTTTGTATAAAAGAACAATTCCGTTTAAGATCAGATTTAAATAATAACTTTTGAATCTATATTATTCTAAGACTTTTTTTCCTCATTCTTAAAAAATTCGAAATTTTACAACAGTTTTAGAATTAAGCCAACCGCAGTTAACCGAACCGAACCACATTTATTCTTTATTCTGGTTTATAATTTCTGATTCGTGTATAGTGGAATACCGAATTGAATACTGAACCAGTGAAGTGAGTATTCAAAAACCCTAACCTTCCCAACTTACAATTCCATTCGTTCAGAATCGAAGTTTGGGAAATCAAAATCAGAATTGAAGGTCACAAAATCACATTCTGTTATTAACTTTTTCGATTTTGGCTCTGTTTATTATGTTTCTGTGTTTTGAGTTTTGTAGTTGATGTATGAGTTGACACACCTATTTCCTAATGGAATGAGTAATGACTAATGATACCTCTTTTTGATTAATTTGATTATTAGCTACAACTTATTTAGACAAATTCTCCACTTTGAAAATTATCAAAAGGCTTCAACTTCTCTCAACATTTTTCATGGGAATTTTTTTAGTGACCAATTTTGGATTGCTTATGCCGAATCATATTTGAGTAACTGAGAAGTTTATTTTCTGTTAATACTTTGAAAATCATCGTTTTGCATTTATAAAGTTGCTCAGCTCATGACATATCTTCATGTGTGACATATAGGTTGAATCATAAAACAATTCGATGGCCGAAGAAACACAAGTGGTTGAATCTGGAAGAGGCTTGGGAAAGAGGAAGTTTGGTAGGAACCAAGGCCGCAAAAAGTCAAATAAGAAACCAAAAGTGATGCAGCCACCACGCGGACAGAAGAAAGTTAAAATTGACCAAAAAATGAAGAAACTTTACCACAAGCGAGCACGAGCACGAGAGTATAATTCTGATGATGATGTAAACGAGACAGCTGCCCCTGCTACTTTTAAGACTAGAGGTGCTGCATCTATGAAGACTAGAGGTGTAGTATGTTTCACCAAAAAAAAAAAGCTTGAGGAGGAAGACAAAGAAATTGAAGAGTTGTCTGAAGATGAAGGAGGACAAGGAACACAGAAGAAGACTGTGTCCGATAAGAAAGTTAGTTTCTCTGAGGATGAAGGAGAAGATGGCGATGAAATTCAGCCCGGAATTACTAAATTCGCCGAAGGTTGTAAAGCATTCAAGATGGCCTTCAAGAGTATTATAAAGAAGAGTGTTTCTGATGACTTGTTGGTAAGCTAGGTGATCATACAACAGGCTATGTTACTTAGAGATTTAGATAATTGGTATTTTTTAAACTTGGGTAACTCTATAGGGTCCAGTATTGTCAGCACATAAGAATCTTGTTATAGAAAAGCTTGCGGAAGAGGAGGCAGAGCGCTAGGTCAAGGGAGAGGCAAAAAAGGAAAGGCTAATGGTAATTTTAAATTTCAAGTTGACTGATTTTAGGGATATCCCAATTAGTACCAAGATTTATGTGTATCTCCAATTTTCATAGCCCAAAATATATCTATCTGGTAATCAGTCTGACAGTTTCTATCTTATTGGTTGTTAAAGCTAGCAGAAAAGGGACATGTCAAACCTGCTACTTATTTGGACTCGCACGAAAAATTTCTAATAAGTGTAGCAACCAAAGGGGGTAAATTAGCTTCTTTTTCTTTTGAATAGAGGTCTATTTTATTTTTGTTAGTGACTTCCATTTCCTCTTACTGATTTGTCTGTTGTTGTGAACATGGACTATTTCCGATTGCTTTCAGTGGTCAAGCTGTTCAACGCTGTAAGTCTGTCTTAGCATACAGCCAAATTTTGTTTCCTCCTAATTTTCCACTCCTCTCTCTTTGTTGCGATGTATAAGGAGCAGTAACCTCATTCTCAATTCCATTCTCCTCACAGAACTTCTGGAACTCTTTGGAGTTATACTCACCTCCACCATCAGTTCTAAGAATCTTCAACTTCTGACCACTCTGATTCTCAGCCTTCATTTTGAACTTCTTGAATTCATCAAACACCTCGTGTTTGAACTTAATAAGGGATACCCATGTCATTCTTGTGAATTCATCAACAAATAACACAAAGTATTTATTCCCTCCAATTGATGCTACTGGAAATGGACCACACACATCAGAGTGTACAACTCCTAAGGCATGTTTTGCTCTTGGAGCAACTTCTGATGCAAATGACAATCTTGGTTGTTTTCCTTCCATGCAAACTTTGCATGACTTTTCAGGCTTCTTAATTGCAAGAATTCCATGTACCAATTTCTTTGAATTCAGATGTTGTAAGCTTCTGAAATTCAAATGACCAAATCTTCTGTGCCACAGCTCACTCTCCTTCTCAGTACTTGTTGCACTAAGACACTCTGAGTCTGCAGTTCTGACATTCACCTTGAATGTTCTATTCCTTCCCTGTTCTGACTCCATAATCAACTTCTGATTACAGTCATACAGCTTCAGAAGATTGTCCTTCATGGTAACTGAGAAACCTTTCTCAATTAATTGTCCCACACTCATCAGATTGCTTCTGATGCCAGCTACATACCACACATTCTGAATCAATGCTATTTTCCCATTGTTCAGAGTCACTCTGACATTTCCCATACCTTCTGCATTAAGATATTTGTCATCAGCACATCTGATCTTTGTTCTCTTTTCAGAGTCAAAGTCAACCAGCCATTTCTTGTTTCCAGTAAGATGATTTGAACAGCCAGTGTCCATATACCACCAGTCTGTCAGATCCACATTATCAGATTCAGAGGCCTTCAACAGCACAGATTCGTCATCAGAGCCTCTGGCTATATTTGCTTCTTCTGATTTCTTCTCCTTGTTTGACCAACAATCTCTAGCAAAATGGCCAAACTTCTTACAACAATAACATTGTATTTTTCTTTTGTCATACTTCTCTTTTCCCCTCTGAGCATTCTTTTGTCTATCAGAGGTTGAGCTTTCTGACTTCTGACCACCATCAGATCTTCTCCTGGCTTCTGACTGCTTCTGATACCTCCTATCAGAAGTTGCTTTCAGAGCCTGCTGTTCTACTTCCTTTTCAGAGTTTCTCTCAGTCAGACGCAACTCTTGCGCTTCTAGACTGCTCTGCAGCTCTTCAATTCTCATTGTGCTCAGATCTTCAGAATGTTCTATTGCTACCACAATGTAATCAAATTGAGGAGTAAGGGATCTCAACACTTTCTCCATGATTGTTTCTTCAGAAAGAGTTTCTCCACATGCCTTCATCTCATTAGTGATCAGAATCACTCTGGAGATGTATTCAGAAACTTTCTCATTATTCTTCATGTTGAGATTCTCATATTGCTTTCTCAAGGACTGAAGCTTCACCTTCTTCACTGATGCGTCACCACCATAACATCTCACCAGAGTGTCCCATGCAGCCTTTGCTGTTGTAGAGTCTGCAATCTTCTCAAACACGTTTACATCCACACATTGATGAATGAAGAACAATGCTTTCTGATCCTTCTTCCTTACTTCCTTCTGCGCGTTTTTCTGTTCATCAGTCGCATCTGCTGCTACCCGAACATAACCATCAGTGACAAGATCCAGAACATCTTGAGCACCAAACAGTACACGCATTTGGATCATCCAACGATTCCAATTTTTACCGTCAAATACTGGAAGTTTGGTGTTCATGTTGCTGTTTCCGTTCATCTTCTACTTTGCACAATACACTCAGAGTTTTCTCACACAGTGTTTCCCAACCCATAGAATTAAAAAATTCTGATCAGATTTTGTTCAAGATTCAACAAGAATCTGAGAAACAAAATCAAACACACAAGACCTCACGTTCACTCGTGTTTCCCGTGTTTCCCAATGAATCTGAACCGGAGCTCTAGATACCAATTGTTGGTGCAAAGGTAGAATAAATGATGAAAATGAGAAATATTCTATTAAGAATGACGGCAGAAAAACATGATATTTGGTTACAATGATTGTCACCCTATTTATAAGGTAAAACTAGGGTTACTAGAATAAGATAAATACTAAAATACCCTCTAACAAACTTATGGGCTTAAGAAAGTAATATAATAAAATATGAATTATTACTAATAAATTGAAGGTCACAAAATCACATTCTGTTATTAACTTTTTCGATTTTGGCTCTGTTTATTATGTTTCTGTGTTTTGAGTTTTGTAGTTGATGTATGAGTTGACACACCTATTTCCTAATGGAATGAGTAATGACTAAGGATACCTCTTTTTGATTAATTTGATTATTAACTACAACTTATTTAGACAAATTCTCCACTTTGAAAATTATCAAAAGGCTTCAACTTCTCTCAACATTTTTCATGGGAATTTTTTTAGTGACCAATTTTGGATTGCTTATGCCGAATCATATTTGAGTAACTGAGAAGTTTATTTTCTGTTAATACTTTGAAAATCATCGTTTTGCATTTATAAAGTTGCTCAGCTCATGACATATCTTCATGTGTGACATATAGGTTGAATCATAAAACAACTCGATGGCAGAAGAAACACAAGTGGTTGAATCTGGAGGAGGCTTGGGAAAGAGGAAGTTTGGTAGGAACCAAGGCCGCAAAAAGTCAAATAAGAAACCAAAAGTGATGCAGCCACCACGCGGACAGAAGAAAGTTAAAATTGACCAAAAAATGAAGAAACTTTACCACAAGCGAGCACGAGAGTATAATTCTGATGATGATGAAAATGAGACAGCTGCCCCTGCTACTTTTAAGACTAGAGGTGCTGCATCTATGAAGACTAGAGGTGTAGTATGTTTCACCAAAAAAAAAAAGCTTGAGGAGGAAGACAAAAAAATTGAAGAGTTGTCTGAAGATGAAGGAGGACAAGGAACACAGAAGAAGACTGTGTCCGATAAGAAAGTTAGTTTCTCTGAGGATGAAGGAGAAGATGGCGATGAAATTCAGCCCGGAATTACTAAATTCGCCGAAGGTTTTAAAGCATTCAAAGATGGCCTTCAAGAGTATTATAAAGAAGAGTGTTTCTGATGACTTGTTGGTAAGCTAGGTGATCATACAACAGGCTATGTTACTTAGAGATTTAGATAATTGGTATTTTTTAAACTTGGGTAACTCTATAGGGTCCAGTATTGTCAGCACATAAGAATCTTGTTATAGAAAAGCTTGCGGAAGAGGAGGCAGAGCGCTAGGTCAAGGGAGAGGCAAAAAAGGAAAGGCTAATGGTAATTTTAAATTTCAAGTTGACTGATTTTAGGGATATCCCAATTAGTACCAAGATTTATGTGTATCTCCAATTTTCATAGCCCAAAATATATCTATCTGGTAATCAGTCTGACAGTTTCTATCTTATTGGTTGTTAAAGCTAGCAAGGGACATGTCAAACCTGCTACTTATTTGGACTCCGCACGAAAAATTTCTAATAAGTGTAGCAACCAAAGGGGGTAAATTAGCTTCTTTTTCTTTTGAATAGAGGTCTATTTTATTTTTGTTAGTGACTTCCATTTCCTCTTACTGATTTGTCTGTTGTTGTGAACATGGACTATTTCCGATTGCTTTCAGTGGTCAAGCTGTTCAACGCTGTAAGTCTGTCTTAGCATACAGCCAAATTTTGTTTCCTCCTAATTTTCCACTCCTCTCTCTTTGTTGCGATGTATCTTTTGTTAATTAGGAAATAATCTTTGCAGTTATTGTGAATAATTTACATTCATAGAATAGGAAATTAGTCATTATGAATTGTAATTAGTTATTATCAGCTATAATTAGTTATTATGAGTTGTAATTACCGACACTATTATATATAGTATGAAAGGCAATGAGAAAGGCATCAAGATCAATAACTGTAGAAGGAATACGATTGATCAAGAAGACAGCCGTGGAAAGAGCCTCCACCCAAAATCGGGATGGTACAGAAGCTTGGAGAAGTAAGGTGCGTGTTACATCAAGCCAAATTTCGTGACATGGTATCAGTAGGTTCGATCAAACCTGGAAAATATTATTATATTGGCTGATCAGCGATACCCCACTGGTTCGCTCTCGTAATCGTGTTCGTTTCGAAATTCTTTCGTTTGAAATCGAAACCTTGCAGCTGTCTGAGATTCTAAATCTTTGGTTGCCGGTTCGTGATTTCGTCTTGGAGATTCTCGTTGTTGCGCTGATATTGCAATCAATTTTTTTTGGTTCTTGGCTGTTGTTGCTTCGTGATTCTGGATCGTCATAATCTTCTGTTTTGCCGCTCCTTCCAAATCGTGGATTTGATCGTGCTGTTGTTCGTTGGTTCGTGGGTATTGTTTCTTGTTGCTGCTCTAGTAACTGTGATTACAGTTACTGTTATTATATTATAGTTATTATTATTATTATTATAATTATTATTATAATAATAATAAAATAATATTAGTGAGATTGTATCTGGTGGTTTAATAATTTAGATGGCTTCC